TAACATGTCTTTCATTTTTGATTGTGATAATGGGTAGTGGAACTCGATACTCGTTGTTGAAATAACGATTTAGATCGGTGAGATATTTCAGTTCGAGATCTAAATTATTTGTTTGTGATGATTTAAGTACATAGGAAAGTTGTTCGGAACATTTGATGAGCCAGTTGTATCGAGATAGTTTGGTGAGAGTGATGGGTGTTGAAGGATCAATGGAAGAAAAGATATGTGGCCAATGAAGGGAAAGAAGATTTTCGATATCTTCAACATTTTCCATTCTAATTCAATTTAACATCTAAAATGAAGTTTCAATCTTTCTCAAAATCAAAACAGTGTCGTGATCAGATCATGAAAAAACAAAATCTAAAAATACGTCATGTAACTGTTGAGATCTTTTTCTCGTTTTTAAGCAAATTTAATTCCTTGAGCAAGCGGAAGCTGTTTCGAATAGTTGATTGTGCTAAACAAAGAAAACATTCAACTCTCTCATTAAACAAATGAAACTATAACAAACCATGTCGATCGTCTCATATATTGTTTCCATGAATCCGAGCCAGATTCTCTTCCTCCACCGGTATGTTTTTCTCCTCCGAAAGCTCCACCAATTTCAGCACCGCTTGTCGGAATATTAACATTAACCTTTAAATCAACGAAAACGCACAAATCAAAAGAAATAAGAAAAAAAAACAAATATTACAATTCCACAATCAGATCCATTTGGCCCAATCCATTTGAAGAGAAGTTCCGGGTTTGTTGTGAACAACGAGCTTGATAAACCTTGATCAACTTCATTATTCCATTTCACAGCTTCTTCAAATGTCTTTTGGAGAAAAAAACAGAGAATGAAAGGTTCTATTTGAAGTCGAAGATGTGCCATACTTTGCATTTGAGAACATAGAGAATTGGTGCGAATGTTTCTTGATGAACAATTGATGAATCATGTTTGAGATCGGTAACGATTGTTGGTTGAACATAGTTGCCTTTTCTTTCTGCGTAAAGCTTTCCTCCATAGAAAATCTTTCCACCTTGTTTTTTCACTTCTTCGATAGCTTGTTGATACAATTGAACTGATTGTTTTGTATGCAATGGTCCGTACAGAACATTTTCTTCAAACGGTTCGCCAACTCGAGACTCAATCTGTTCATATGCACGACGCAACCCAGATAAGACTTGATCATAAATTCCTTCTTGAACAATCTAATTGAAAAAATCGGAAAACATGTTCTCTTCAGTGAAAGATTCCTATCATACAAGTCGTCTTGCAGTTGTACATCTTTGTCCAGCAGTACCAACTGCAGCAAAAAAGACGGCAGGAATAGCCAAGGAAAGATCAGCATCGTCCATAATGACGATACAATTATTTCCACCTAATTCCAGAATCGTTTTACCAAATCGTGCTTGAACTGTTTGTGCAACTTGTTTTCCAACTTGACATGAACCAGTAAATGAAACAAGCGGAATTCGTTTGTCTTCTGCAATGGATTTTCCAACATCTGTTCCACCGCATATTAATGATGATAAAGCACCGGGTAAAGAATTACGTGTGAGAACACGTTCAACTATTTTCGTCGTTGCAATACTTGTCAATGGTGTTGTCGGTGCACCTTTCCTATAGATTCAATCGGAATATTTCAGTGGTTAACAAACAAGAAGAACTTCTCTACCATAGTGTGACATTTCCACAAGCGAGTGCAATCGCTTGATTCCATCCGAAAACGGCGCATGGAAAATTAAATGCTGTAATGATGCCGATAATTCCCAATGGATTCCATTGTTCCATAAGAATGTGTCCAGGTCCTAAATAATCTCAACGTGAAAGGAGAGTAGATTAGATTATCTGTTGACTTACGTTCTGACGGAAGAACTTTTCCTTCGAACATTCTGGAGAGACCAACGGCATAATCACAAATATCGATAAATTCTTGAACTTCACCGACACCTTCAGGAAGGATTTTACCCATTTCCATTGAGATCTACGAAAGGTAATAATAGAGAATTTGCGAATGAAAAAGAAAGCGAAACTAAACTAGTTTTCCAAGCGGTTGAAGATTCTTTCTTAGTTCATCGCCAATTTGTCGAACAATATCACCACGTTTCGGCGCTGGAACATTCATCCACATTTGAAACGCTTTCGAAGAGGATTCAACAATTCGATTGTAGTCTTCAACAGTACCTTGACGAACACGAGCGATGGGTTCATTTGTCGAAGGATTGATTGAATCAATCGCCTATGAAACAGAATATTTTCTTCGAAAAAAACAAAACAAATACTATCGAACAAACCTCTCCGCTGGCAAACCATTTACCATCGAACACTCCTAAGTTTTCTTCTTCTAAACCTAATTCTTGTAGAAACGGTTTGTAAGCCGAATTTGAGATTAAATATTTGGAAGATTGAGTTGAAGCCATTCTTCGAGCAATCAAATTAAGATGAAATTGTTTGTGTTGAATTACACGACGAAATAAAAGAGGTATAACCATATCCAATAATCTGCAATCAGTTTGCACTTAAACAAATAAGATAACCTGTCCACGTTGGGATATTTCAGTTGTTATTGGTTGGTTTGCTAACTAATATTTTTGTTTAAGAAAATATTCTTAGTAAATTTTAATTAGTTTTAGAAAGCATTTTTAACTGTTATTTCGTGAGAAAAAGTTTGTTTTATACGTTTGACATGATTGTACATAACTGACATCTATATGAAATAGAGTCATTGAGTTTCATCTTCGATATTCGCAACTAAATTTACAAGAAGTCAATGTACTGTGAATGTTCTACACATCCTCCGCATACAAATCGAAATAGAACATGTTGTTATAGATAAAAGTCGAATTAGAACGACATCTGAAAAATTTAGAAAACATTGTGCGAACAAAGAAAGTTTTTATATACACAAACTATGTCAACGAGGTAAGCATCTTATTCGAAACGTTGTTATTTATTTAAGCAATTCTGTGATACATCTAAGAGTATACAATTTAATAGACATTCTTTACATTTTTACGAAGAACAATAAATAATCCTATTCTAGGTGAAGCGGTTTTCGATTCGCAATAGCCAACAACTAGCATTCACTATGTATCGAGCTGTTCCTGCTGCATCCCAGTTAATAAACAATTTTGTGAATCCACAATCGAGACATATTCGCCCTTCATTCGATGTTGAACTTGCTGGTGGATCATAAACAGCAATGCATGTGTTTCCATCACTAGCTGTTGCAATCGGAACAAATGTCTTACGACTCTTTTCTGTCGAATACACTGGATGGCAGATGGTGATACCTTCGTATAAGTTCTTCACACCAGTGAAAATATCATGTTGACCAAAATGTCCTTTTTGTTGATGACCATTCTCTGCATAAGTCAATATTTTTGTACCATAGTAATCTCCCTCGACAGTCACACCAAATTTTTTACCAAGAAATTCATTTGCATGAGAAACATATGGTGTGTTATCAGCAAACAAAAATATTGCACCACCACTTGAATGAAAGTTTGTCAACGATGAAATTATATTACGATTGTTGATGTGCATATCGCTTATGATCCATGCGACTTGATATTGATTTGAATCAAGTTCTTTGATGCACTCATCTTCACTTTTGACAAACTTGACTTGGAATCCTTTCATTTTCAGTTCATCGATTGGCTTTTGCATTGCAGTATCAGTGAGCTGACCATCGCTACAGAATTGTCCGATCAGAATACTAAATCCCATGAATGCTCCATCTCTTCCAAGATCATATTCTCTTCCAACTGGATTCCAATGACAATCAAATGCCAGAGCATCAGGAATGTTACTTTTGCCTTTGGCATCATTGTATGCTTGTAGTGGCAGAGAAGTGGCTTGTGTTGGATTCGAATTAGATGACGATGATGGTGCTGACGCTTTTCGTTGTTTAACTGTTCTTGTTCTCTTTTTGGTAATTTTGTTTTTTGCAACACGTTTCTTAGTAACTTTGACGTTTGATGTCTGTAGTTGGCGTGCTAGCGTGGCTCGAGTTATGGCAACCATAATATGATAGTAAACCAAAACAGAAAATCTTAAAGTTCTCTTTTTCTATGGATTATATGATAATGAGGAGAAAAATGATCAATTATATAGTAAAGACATGTGTACGTTTTCCACTATGAAAAGTAATGTCATCACAACAGTGTAGCGATCGTGCAATTACATGTAATTGCACAATCGTCATCTAATTCTTTGCAGGACGTAGGCGCTCGTGAGTGGAGGCCACTCTCATGCACATTTATCTATAGTCATAGAATCTTGGATCTTATTATCATTCGGTAGTCGATGCAGTGCGGTCTGTACGAAATGTATTGAGGAGGTAGAGCGCCTTCTTCCTCTTGAAACTATCATGTCCTAGAGAAACGAACTCCCATGAACAATCAATGAAACTCGTAGGACTTCACGAACTTCATCGACATACAAAAAAGTTTTTCCATAGAACCTCACTTTGCTTATAAGGACGAATTTGGCCAAGAATGATGTGACTTAGATTTTAAATTCGATCTACTAAAATTAAAAGCAGTTTACCAAAATATTTACTCAATCCTAGTAAAATCGTTAGAATTCATCGTAACTAACAGCGAACTATATACGTCATCACAATTGTCGATTCCCATCTGCGATGAATGTAGATCTGGTTTCCAAAACTTGATCTCTAAGAATTCACCCAGTTTTATTATGGTTGGATAAAAAAAATGAAAACAAAAAGTAAATCATCTCACTTTCGACCGTTTCAAGGTTGTATACTGCGTTGAGACATGAGGGGAACATGTTGAGCTATTTTTGGCAGGTTAGATAGAATGTCTTCTATTATTCTCATTTGATATTTACGAACTGAATGAATGATGAAAATAATTAGTTTGAAGACAACAAGTAAATGTGACTGTTTCGACGTGTTTAATAAGGCCATTCGGAACTGTACATTCTTTTCATTATATTTAAACATCATTTCAGTATAAATATTCTTTCGAGATAGGAATAAAACGTTTTTTATTTTCAAATTCTTTCTCATAAGTTTCATAACTAATTTATCTAAATTGGCACAAACAAAATCTACAAAAAACTACAATAACGACAAACACATGTCCACGTGATTTATATTTTGTCTTGCGATGCATCTGAATTTTCACTGCCACTTAAGTTTTTCTTTTTTTCGTGCTCCAATTGATTTTCGAGCACCTGAATTCGAGCACTTTGTTTCCGGATTAAGTCATAACATTCGCTGACTATTCGCTCCAAATCGTTTATCCGTTGTTGTAATTCTTTATTACGAGCCACTTGCGCATGTAACTCAGTTTCCAACCGAGACACTCGCTCTGGTTGCGTTTCGCCGGAATTTTCGTTCTAAAAATTAGAATAAACATTCATCGAATTCCACGTGCTTCAGTTAGTTAACTCCTTCTTTACCGAGCGCTAAAGGTTTTCGCTTACTGCTCATACCGTTGTAAGGATGAAGAAAACAGACAGACTCGGAAGTCGTTCGATATAATGTAAAATGTAAACTATATTGTTTATTGTCATTACCTTTGCAATGCACATCTTTTTTGAGTTGGGAATGAAAAAGAATTAAGATGATTTAGCTTATATACTCCAATAAACAAAGAAACGCTAGATGAATGACAATTCTTTAACTTCGACTGACTAGTTCATTACATGATTTTATCTTTTCTTTGTACGGACGTCGCCGGCTTCGTCTATTGTGGTCGCATGTAGAAACAGTGAAAAGAAATATCACAATGCATAAGAATGGCATTGCTGCCGTTGGCGTACGTCGCTATATTTCATTTGAAATGAATTCGTCGAAAATAGATTATTACTCGTTTCTTTCTATATGATTTTGGTAAAAACGTTCTATTAACCTTGTTCTTGTGAAAAATAGGTTCATATATGGCCACTTCTTTCATATTGAATCTATTTTACAGTTGATAAAGTATAACTGAAGATGGTGAATGAATTCCATCCAAATGGTTTTGAGTGTGGGTGACCATCTGAGTTATTACCGTTCATTCCCTCAACTCGTGCACGGGAGATGTGGATTTGCATGGTTCTAACCAATATTTCTTTCTATCTCCATCCTTGCTTTGTTGCACATCATAGATAAACAATATAAGAGAAAGGGAGAAAATGCACAACCACCAATCAAAGGATGGGAAATTTGTTCATTCTATACATCCCATCTCATGAGTCAGGATTGATTTGCCACCTCTATATAAACTACTTACCTCGATAAAAAATTAACACTGAACATCATATTCATACACTGCAAAATTCTCTCATATTCGACTCAAAGATCAAATGGATCACCAACACAACACTCGAACAGAGCTCACCAAAATTCTAGATAATCTCTCAAATGATAATCGACAACGCCTTTATTTTCTACTGAGTACAGACGTTCCGAAATATTTATGCAAAGATCTCACACTAACTGGAACGTTTCAAATAGTCGATTATCTCTTCGACAACGCACTTATCACTGATCGAAATTATTCTTACTTAATTGAAGCCTTAAAACGAGCAGATTGTCAAAGCACTGCTAACAAACTTCTAGGTAGACTGTTTCAAATAAAATAGAATATTTGACATTTATTTTCACTTTACTCGTAGCATACGAACAAGCTCAACAAAAAACTGATAAAAAAGATTTCATGTCACTGTCTGGTACGTCTTTTAATGTAAAAACATGTTGTTTGTGATCATCGAATACATTTTAGTAGTATCTCCAAGTATGATTAATCCAAGGTCAATTCCATATTTTTTGACCAAGGGAAAAACTGTCGACATGGAGTGTGAATCAATGAATCGCAAGAGCAAAGAATCTCACCATCGATACTCATGTGTGACTACAATATTCACAAAATCAACCAATATTCGTGAAATCATTTTGTTCACCTTAGTTCTGGTACTATTAATCTTTTTATTGGTCACAGTACCCGGGAAGTACCATTATAAAACCATCGACAAAGTCGATCGAGGTACAAATTTTCGATGAAACTGAATGGTTAATCTGACTTTTGTATTGCATAATAGAGCCACTTCGTAGTACCTTCATCAATGCGGATACTGTTTGGTCAGAAACAGGCACATTTGTTGCGGGCGGAAACTATGCGGGCGCTTTATTGAATCAACTTTCTTATCCGTATGGTTTGTATGTTGATAGTAATCAAACAATTTATGTTGCTGATGAGCAGAGTCATCGTATCGTTGCATGGGATCACGGTGCTACTGAAGGTCGAGTAGTTGCTGGTGCAAATGGAGCTGGAAATCGACTGAATCAATTGGATAAACCATCCGATGTTATTGTTGACGAAAGAACGAATAGTATTATCATTTGTGATTATGGTAACCAAAGAGTAGTTCGATGGAATCTACATAACGGTACAACTGGTCAAGTTCTTCTCTCGAACGGAGACTATTTTGGATTAACAATGGACAATCTTGGATATCTGTATGTTACCGATCGATCAAGAAATAATATTCAACGATGGCGAATGGGCGATACATATGCGACTGTGGTAGCAGGTGGCAATGGCAAAGGTGATCGGCTTGATCAATTTGATCAGCCAAGATACATATCTGTCGATCAGGATTATTCAATTTATATATCAGATTGGAATAACGATCGAGTGATGAAATGGATGGCAGGTGCCAAAGAAGGTATGGTTGTTGCTGGTGGTCAAGGTAAAGGAAATACTTCCAGACAATTATCGTATCCTGAAGGTGTTGTCGTTGATCAACGTGGTACAGTTTATGTCGTCGATCAATGGAATCATCGGGTGATGAGATGGTTCAAAGGAGAAACACACGGACGCCTCGTTATTGGGGGAGAAAACATGAAAGATCGATCGAAACAGATCTACCGTCCTGTTGGTCTAGCGTTTGATCGGTACGGTAATCTTTATGTTGTTGAGCACGGCAATCACCGAGTTCAGAAATTCAACATCAATTTAGTTAATTAGCCAAAATGACATTTATCCATTTCGTTATAATGTACAATTCTCGCTGTGAAATATCTACAGTAGATTTCAATAAATAAAGATTTTTCTGCCGAGTCGAAACTATTCATTCTCTTATAATCCATCATTGAAAACTTTTATTATATTTACTAAACTTCGAGCTGCATCTGGTGGATATCTCGGATGGCAGACAGTTACATATTCAGATCTTCTTTTAGTACTTGTAGAGATTTCACGTTAGTCAAAATGTTGATAACAGTAGTATCAAATTTTCTTTCGAGATATTCATTTGCATGACACGGTGAAATGTTACTGTCAGGACGATAGTAGAAGACGAGAATGTCATGGAGCACTGAGAACCAAGCGTCTGTGTTAAACTATATCCATTAGTTTATAGCAATTTGATAATGCGATATTTCTTTTATTTCTATCGAAGCTTTTCTTTCGAAAAAAATAAAGAAAGACACTTGAAACTTGCCCATAAAAGTGTCCTTTTATTGTTCGCAAAACGTAAGAGAAAAAGTTTCTTTCCTCGACTGAAAAAAATTTCTCCTGCTGAAATCGAAAAAATGAAGGAACAAATTTTCTTTTCGGTCGTTATGTATATTTATTGAATAAATAACGGGTCGGTATATGTAAATCAATTATTTTGTTGAAGAAAGAACAAATGTCGTTATTCGCATGTGCTCGTCCCAAGACGAACGATAGTAAATCAGCTCGAAACACTCAATTAGAGAAACGAATCCGTGAATCGTCCAAGGAAAACATCGAATTAAATAGTTTGAACATAACTGACGATGATGTTTCTTATATAGTTAACAAGATTATTAAGAAAAATAAACGTTGTCAATCATTATCATTAACAAACAATGAAATTACGTCGAACGGAATTCAAATTCTGATTAATTCATTAGTAAAAAATTCCAAAATAACACATTTGAATTTATCGTCCAATCCACTTGGTGATCAAGCGATTGAATTCATCAATCAATTGATCGCGAGTAATCGCACTTTATACCATTTATCATTAGCCGATACAAACATAACCGATATCGGTTTTCGAGAGTTGATTCAAGCTCTCTCGTCGAATTCTTCATCTTTACGAACGCTTGATCTCCGTTCGAATAAATCAATAACTGATGCATCCATTCCATTTCTTATTCAAATGGTTGATCGAAATCAAACATTATCTGCATGTAGATTAGATAATTGTCAATTAACTGAACAAGGATTGAATCAACTTAAAGAAGAAAAATCTGTAAAATGGTAAACTTAGATCCTCGAACCATCTAAATTTAACATTTATTTTACTTGACACATAAATATATACAGACAAAGCATTGTATTCTATATCTCTACGATCATTCGTCGAAATCGATGAAAGATATCAAATAAACCTTTTTGAAAAGTACTTCCACCGCAGATTGTATAGATATAAAAGGATAGACCATTCGCTAAGTACATACTAAGAAGAGAAACAGTAAAGATGAAGGCATCCAAAGGATATTGCCGTCCTGTAACCGGATCAGGACTTTTAAATGCTAAATAAAGTCTCTGTATTGGACATGGCATTGATAGTATAAACAGAGTAGCTATTTGAAAGAAGAGCATGATTACCAGGTGTCGATCGGTTCTTTTACGATAAATTTCGTGAATATCTGCATTATGATGTTGGATAACTGCATTATGATGATGAACTTGATGGTGCCTCTGACGAATGTTAAAAATGGTCATCACTCCGAACAAAAGCATAACTAACAAAGGAATGAACAGAGTCAGCAATGCAAATGATATATCACTTAATACACGACAGATATGTGTAGAAGCATAGCATTTCAACGGAGCATTTAGTTGATCTGCCTCGTAACAATAAAGCATTTGAATATAAAGTCCAAGTGATGCACAAATAATGACAATGGTACCACGTTGAGCATTTTGTATGGTGCTTTTTTGACGTCGATTTGTTTCAGCGCTCGATAGAAGCCAACGATCAACTGTTGCTAAGGCGATGAGCCAAAAAGTTGCAGTGATTGCAGGAAAGACAACCATGCTGCGTACTTTGCAAATAAATCCATTTGTCTCACTGAAATCAAGCGACCAACTTGATAAAAATCGAGAGACCAAACCAGAAAGATATGAAATGATACTTGCGATCGATGACATAAGGAAAAGCCAGGCGCATGGATTTCCTCGGAAAGTTTTTCGTGATAAGACTAAGATATTGAGAATATTGCCAATAGTACCAATGACAAAAATAAGTATTCCACAATAACGATTCACCTGTATTGTTAAATAAGAAAAAGCTACGGCGTTACCAGCTTCTGTTGATGACGACATTTTTCAACTAAAGGTAAGTAAGAGGTGTGCGGAAATTTTTCTTATTCTATGTTGTCTCACACAGAAAAATCAAACAGAAAGAAGTGACAATCGGCGTGCCTCGATGTTGATGAAAATATAATTTGAAATCTGCTCCAAAAGATGCAGATTTACCCAAAGACAACGAGTATGACAGTATAGTCTTCATGAAAACGAGGCTTATGTCAGGATCTCTGACATATGAATAAATATGTGTTCGCTAAAAATGTTGTAAGTAAATGTACTCGAAGTAGATTAATTATGTGTAAATAGTAGCGAACTTAAAGTAAAATGTAAGAATAAAAAGCGTCTTCATTGTGTCGTTCCATTCAGGATGTAGAATGGCTTTGGTTAAACGACAATCTCGCCATGTGTAAATCACACAATGTCTCAAGAGAAAACTTGCTATATGTTCCTTCCAGCTTTCTCCGTCACACATATAGAGTTTCTCGTAGGCTTTTAGAATATGTTATTTCATTTAATCATATTAAAAGTTCCACTAATAAAAAACTTTCAATGATGAGCATCGAGTTCTTTCCTCACATTTTCAATCAGACGACAGTACAGCTTTCGGCTTTTGTCTAAAGATCCTAAATACCAAGTACGCGCGTGATTAAACATGTTAGAGAATAGCTACATTAAAAGAACTCGATAACGACGTTCAATCTAAATGGAAAACAACGTAAAGATCATGAGAACTTTGGTTAATCAGAAATTGAGGATGACAAATATTCGTTAGGACATGCCGAGAAGTACCGTTTGTATATATTTTCGCCATAAATAGTAGCAATGGTACACTTTTCACGAATATACAATGTTCTACTTGGTTTCGTCTGTTTCATTTGTGACAAAAAGCAACTATCTTTCCAAAATATTCAAGATCGCGTTAACTCGACTGATTTGTATCTTTCATGGACGATGAGGAGCACTTCTTTACCAATCGTTGAGTTACGGTTGAATAGGTTTTCTTTTTCTCCACCTACATCAATGACAACGTTCTTTTTTCTGTTTCATTTTTTTAAACACGTGTAGAAAATCGTTCCGTCTAGAACCATCGGTATTTAACATGTAAGTTTTGATTATGTAAACAAAACTTATCCTCACGCGATTTCGAGATGTTTTAGCACAACGTACGTATGTACATCCATATATGTAAAGCAATCAAAGTACAATTATTCGATTAAATAGCGACATATAGACGCCAACACAATCTCTCATTACAGCGAATGTTTCATTTTTATCCACATTTAAGAAGACTACGTGTAGTTTTCTTAGGTTGTATAATAATATGTTTATTCTGTGTTTATACTGGTCAAAAATACCCTTTATTTCCTTCGCGTAAAAGCACCGATAAGATATTTCCTTCGCGTAAAACCACCGATAAGATAATGTCTCCATTTCAACACACTCTTGGATTTATACGTTGGAATTCACTTCATCCTGAACGGATTCCTGTCCTGGAAAAGTATCGACCGTTCTTTGCTGAATTACATTATTCTATGCCGAACTATACATTGAAGACAAATCTGACAGCAGATGGATGGGCACCCTACAAAGATGTGTATAAAGTAGTAGGCGATACGATGAACATTATTTTGAGACAATATCCAAATATCAAAGGACTTTTATATTTCCATTTTGATGTAAGCTATTTGACCGTTGAGATTAATATTAATTTGTTTCTAATTAAGGCATGGTTACATCCTTTCAGATTTGATGATATGAATTTTCGTAAAATTTGGTTTCCTGATTCAGCTGTGCCGCCGTTTAAATGTGTAACAGACACGACAGGGTGGGAATGGTGGGCTTGGGAGAAGGGATATGATCGAATTGCTAAAAAAGCTACGAAGAATGTTGCTAAGAGTTATTCAAAACGGTACATTGTACGAGACAATGTCTTTTGTGGAGGGTAAGGAATTGACTTTTGAGAGTTATTAATTATTTCAACTTGTAGATGGTCTGATATTTATTACATACCAAGAGAATTTTTTCGAGATTATATCACATTGGGAAACGTATTCTATGAAGCTGATTCGTTTCATGAAGTCGCAATACCAACGATGATCAATATAATCGATTTGACATATCGGTTGACGCCTTATCATAGCGTAGTTACACGTATTGGAGATTGTTGGGGCGATTGTTGTACGAACGGTGCAAAACCAGAAGATATCAAACGAAAGCGATGTGGTCACCGAATTGATTTCACAAAAACGCACATGAAAGATACATTAGTTACGATTTTAGAGTTAGGAGCACGTTACCTTAATAGAACTATTCAAAAGCCTGCCTGACGGTCTGCAATGATTCTGTTATTCCTAAGAATGTTTCATTGATTTCATCTTGAGAATGTAATTAGATTTAAATAGCATTGGAAAACAGCTACAGTTTTATAACTAAGAGATTATCGATTTCAATTTATATCGTGCTTCTGTTAACAACCGGAGCAAATCAATACCATGAAGGATTTATTTACAATTTAGCTTCGTTAAGTGCCCACTGCCCAAGGAACCTGACCGTACCAAAACTCAAGTTTAATCCTCATCAGCCGGGACAATGCCCAGTAACCGTCAATCCGTTTAATAAACATAAGTAATGAATTAATACCAACAACTCGTGAAATTGCCATGATGGTCTACTGAAATTGATCTCAAAGACTCTCCGCTTCTTATTTCACCATGTTTTCATAATAAAATAGTTTGTTTTGACGAGAAAAAAATGCATAGTTTTAGAGTGAGGGTGAGTGCTCACCACCAGCTCATCTAAGGACTCGATAGGAGCCAGATGAGTTTTCGAAAGTTCTCATCATACTTATGTAGGGCTGATCGAATTCTATGTACACATTTTGACCAGGCGATAATATCGAAGTATTCAATTCTGTTTTCTTCTGTAGTTGTTCACGTGGTCATCAATTTACATAGCAAAGCCTTTTTTCTTTTCTTTCTTTCGTCAGTCCAACACGCTCAAAACATTTACACTTATCTACTCAGTCGCTTGTTCACTATATATATATCCATTGTTCGTCCCAAAGTTCATAGTTTGATTAAATTAACATGGAAGCAAATTCTTCACATCAACAAAAACATCTTTTTTAATCGAATTATGTACAGAAATTCTCTCTAAAGACCCGGGTTGGCTATCTCTGACTAAACTCATGAAAACGATTGAAGGACAATCATCACCAAAGAGCGATTTGCTTGAATTGTTTCAAACTATCAAAAGCATTCAGAATGATATAAGTATTCAATAATTAAAATATCTTAAATAAAGCATATGTTTTAGATTACTCAACAACAAACGCTGATAGAAACTTTACAACGAGCTGCTGATGAAGTAGCAGAACGTTTCGATTTAGGTTTTGAATCAAATTAATATCTTGGAAGAACGAGCATTAAGTCAATAAGCGAAAGAAAATGATTTTGGTACAGATGATTGAATGTTTCTTTTCTTCTCTTGTCTATAAATAAAATTATCTTTTCAGTATGATTCTCTCATTGACATTGCTTTATGACATGAGAAAAATAACCAACAATGCCGAAGTGACCAATCAAAAGAGCTTGTTATAAATGAATAGACCATACTAGAGAGAAACGCGTTCAATCGTTCATCACAGCTTTACATTTCGGGAACAAAGCGATGTTTCTTTTGTTCTCATAGACGTCATTGACTATAGCATGCAGACGTGTATATAAGGGGAAAATAGATCATCCTGTCAGTGCTAGGTATGAATATACTTGATTTGCCCAATGAATTGTTGATTATTATTTTCAACAAATTAAATGCAGTCGATTCTCTCTATTCACTTGTGGATGTGAATGAACGATTTGATGAAATAGTGCTAGAAGCTCTTCATATTCAGTGTCTTGATACAGCAAACATGCTTAAAGAATCAAGTTTTGATGAAAGCGCTCCGGTGAATCAAGCAATACTTCGCAAAATATGTGAAAAAATTCTGCCTCGACTTCATCTTCGATTGAATGAACTGATCGTTGATCAAAATTCACTTCAACATATTCTTTTTTCTAATACTTACCCTCAACTATCGTCTATATCGCTTGTTAACTTTCAACAGAAAAGTCTTCTTCGATATTTAAGAGGTAAGGTACACGTTGATTTCGCCAAATGAAAATTTTGTTTCGATTCCATAGATGATTCCATTCTGCGTGAACTTCTCTCTGAACAAATCACACATTTGTCTATTGGGTTTCGATTCGAATTACCAGTGGAAGACCTCGAAACTTCGACAAATATATTTGCTCTAATTTTATATTTATGTCAACGATTAGATAGCTTAAGCTATTGTCAGCTGTTTTCATATCAAACCATCCCGGTCTTTATTCAAATATCGCCATCGATAAATGTGATATCTTCAACTTTAACTGCTCTGGAGATCAATATTAAAACATTTCAATGCTGTCTTCGTATTTTGGACGGCCGTTTCGCCTGTTTAAGAACACTGAGAGTTCATATCGAACGAATTTCACATCGCTTCTGCAATATAGATACCACAGTAAGTCGCTTATCGCGCAATGCATTGTGTGTGAAAGCAGAAAAGAAAATAGATGAACTATATTCTCTTTAGTCATTGCTGCCAAAACTGAAATATTTCTNAAGAATTAAGATGATTTAGCTTATATACTCCAATAAACAAAGAAACGCTAGATGAATGACAATTCTTTAACTTCGACTGACTAGTTCATTACATGATTTTATCTTTTCTTTGTACGGACGTTGCCGACTTCGTCTATCGTAGTCGCATGTAGAAACAGTGAAAAGAAATATCATAATGCATAAGAATGGCATTGCTGTCGTTGGCGTACGTCGCTATATTTCGTATGAAATGAATTCGTCGAAGATAGATTATTACTCGTTTTTTTGAGTGATGTCATAATATCAGTACCCCACTTTTCCTCCTTTTGCTTGGAGCATTACACTTACAAATTCCCGTTTGGTATAAGTGTATGCTTCTGCTTTTTGGTAACGGCATAATACATCTTCTGAAGTCCGTTATTGAAACAAAATAAATCATATTAAGATTGATGTGCAGTGAATGTATTTTAGTCACATAGACAAACACATTCGAGTTCGACTTTGTTTATGCCGATCTCATTCTCATTTTAGCTATGATAAAATAGTATGTGCAATGATAAAGTATACACACAGATCTACACGTAGCGATTTCTGTATTATTGATTGACAGAGACTTTTGTCGATATGTAGTTTTGCTAGCAGCAATACATCGACATAGCTGCTCACATTGTCAGTATGTCAAAAAATTCCTTTCATTTGCATACTATATATCATAAAGAATAAAATATCTTCACCAGGTTTTATTGAGTTAAGAGAAATGATTGATGGTTTCATCCATGAAGATATTGTCTTTGACATCGGATAATATACTTCCGTGCTTATTATCTAAAAACAGAATTTAATTTTCATAATGTAATAAATAATGCAGTTTTCTGCGCTCATCTATAGGTTTTTTAAGACCCAAAGAAGCAAGAAACTCAAAAGCAACACTGGTTAATTGCCTGTAATAATATGCTGCAAGTATTTATCGACGAACTTCTCCGGTAATAGTGAAACTATAAGATATTGGCATACAGTTAACCAAGGAGAAAATAATTTATATCGTCGGCAAGTGTTCTTCAGCCAATAATCTTATGTTGGTCTAGCTTGCAAACATCAAATAATCCGATAGATTTCAAATATAAAAAAAACCATCAATTACTTTGGATATTTACCAAACCAGCCGGTGACTACATTTAAATCTTGAGTGAACGTTCAGTAAATATAAATCTTTTTGTGTTAGATTTTATTATTATTATATTAGAATAAGTGTTGAGAATACCATTCATTTCATACTTCAGCAATGTTGACTACTTTCTACTACCTATTTCTTTTGTCGACAAGAACCGAATCTAATTCTAACTTTTACACGAATAGTTATCTTCAGTATGACTGTATATACTATTCTTATTCAACGGGGTTTTTACTACCATTGAAAATAGAATATTGTTTTCGATCGACGACTGATGTTGATCTCATGCCGATAGCAAATTTCATCAATACTCGCGATCAAAATTATACATTTCACCAACTATTTCAAATCAATGTCACTGCCTATGACATTTTCCATTGGTCGGCCTCCATCGATCTCACCAAACAGTATCAAGACTATTTCGATCATCACAACACATCTCTTCAAGCTAATCAACTATTCTATAACTGTACACCACCATGGTTCGGATCTCGATGTCAGTATTTTTTGGAATCCGACGAAGCCGCATGTTTCGATCTGGAAATCAACGAGTGCGAACCGAATGAATATCGCTGCCACAACGGACAATGTGTCGATGATTTCGATGAATGTATCAACGGACGACATCTCATGCTGCTGGAATCGTTGACTGTGCAAGGATCCTCACCTGATGATTGTTGGTTGGCCATGGTTTGTCTCACTCGACTAATGCATCCTATCAATCGAACATTCTGCAACGGCACATCCATCCATCCTTCTCATCTTCATGCATGTGATCATCTCATTCAGTTTCCCATCAATCCTGTCTTATTCGGTCATGTTCACTCTCTCTACCATACATGTCGTCATGCTCATCACATGAGACTACCACAAAACACAAAGTATCATGGTTGGAAACACATGATCCGTGTCATCAAACCATACTTTGTTGGTTGTGCTACTCGGTACACAGATGAAAAACATCCAACACTGTATCAGTGCCGAAACTTCGAAATACATCTCGAAATATCGAATAGCTGATAACATCACTGACTGCTATCTGAACGATGATGAAGAAGATCACGAACTCAGTTGTTTCCTTGATCAACCACATCGTTTCAAGTGTGCGAATGAAAGTCGATGTCGATCGCCCATACTTCAACGATTGGGTTGTCCTTTGGTTGAAAATGAGACGAAAACGATCGACAGTATCTTGTTCAACCAGATATGTGATGGAGTTGTCGATGTTTCAGTTGAAGTGGTCGACGGTCTTGGTCACACGGATGAGACTGACTGTGAGCATTGGCCATGTAGCAATGTGTATAGCCGATGCGATGCTTTCTGGAATTGTCGTAATGGTGAAGATGAAGAAGCGTGTCGAGCATCGAACTGGTCTCGTGGTTTGTTTGAATGCATGTCACCACTCAGCTATACGATGATATGTTTAGCAGCTTATAATGTTCGAGATGGGACAGTTGATTGTGTTGGAGGATTCGATGAACCACAATTATGTCAAGGTACGAATGCAGCAAGCGAAAGATTGTACCGATTTACTTGCTTGGATGGGAGAACATGTGTCAATCCGTTTACACTTTGTTACTCAATGAGCAAACTATACAACAAAGACGTATGCATTGAATGGATGGACTATGATCTCAGTATAATCCAAGATAATATTTGCCATGCTATTAGATTAGAACGCGCTCCATTTCCTTCAGAAACGTCTGAAGTATATCCAGCAGTTGAAAAGAAAGTCATCATTCCTAATATTGAACCGGCACGAAAACCGATAAGGGTTTACTCCTTATCTTTGCATTGTGTACGTGGTTTGCCCGTTCATCTTTGGCTAGGAAGCGATATTCGAACTGCGAGATGTATGTGTCCGCTGAATTATTATGGAGATCGTTGCGAATATCAAAGCCAACGCGTAAGTTTGACACTAAGACTATCATCTGTGAACATATACCGCACATACGTTATTTTCACGAAACTAGTTGATGACGACTTGCAGGACATAGAGTCATATGACCAATTCCTGTATGTCTCTCAAAGTAGTTGCAAAGATCCATTCGATAGGTATCTATTATACTCATCCAGATCAACAAATATTTCCAAAACCTACAGCATTCATATTGATGCGTATGACAAGAGCTCTACACAATATCTTGCTAGTTGGTTGTAGAGTTCCGTTTCTGTTCCTTCCGGTTAATCGACTAAATGTTTTGTTAACGCTGGACAGCCGAAGAGCAATGAGTCCTAGCTCTTGCTCTTTGAAATGCGATCACGGTGTCTGCATGAAATATGCCAACGAAGAAAAATACTTCTGTCGATGTAATCCAGGGTGGTCCGGTACTCGATGCCATATTCAAACCAACTGTAGTGACTGTTCATCAGACTCGGTTTGTGTTGGTCAAATCCATAATCGATCGATCTGTATTTGTCCTCTCGGAAAATTCGGCAATCATTGTCTGCTGAAACATTCATGTCCAGCAAATTATTGTGAAAATAATGGTCAATGTATAGTTACCAGCGAGCAGATAATCGATAAAAATTATCAATGCTTGTGCTCCGAACAGTTTCAAGGTGCCCGATGTGAATATCCCAAATCAATATTGAGGATTTCATTCCACAGTTTAGACGTATCAGCTTATTTGATAATTTACATTTATGAGTCTCTTTATTTATATTCAAGACATCCACAGGATGTCATATTGAGAGTAGCTGCCTAGTTCGACTTATAATATAAGTGACGAATTCCTAATACACTCCTACACATAGGAATAGATAGCGATAGATTTAGCTATGCCTATTCACCCATGCCAGTTTAGGAATAGAGAGGAATAGATTTTGTTATACATAGTTTCAGGAATACTCTCAGCCAAGCTATATGTCAGCCTATGTCCATCGGTATACACATGTATAGCTAAATCTATTCCTAAACTCCTAGGTTTATATAGATATACATCTATTTATATTCGAACTGAGATTAGTCTATCAGATGTCCATTTATAATATAAGTCGAATTAGGCAACTCATGCTGATTGACGCATTATCGATAAGTCGTCTCGCAAAGACCCCTTTCACACCAGAAAAGTTAATACCGAATTAACCAATACAATTCGCGTCGCTATGTAAAAGGGCCAATCATGTTTCTTAATTCAACATTATTTTTTCGGTGTAATTGACCCCAAAGATGACCTATGTCCGCATTATCGTTTCTAGCGAGCTGATTGGTTAATTCAGCATTAACTTTTCTAGTGTGAAAGGGGTCTTTCTTGCACATTGTATATGAACAATATAAAAGGAGAGGAGAAAATGCACAACCACTAATCAAAGGGTGGAAATTTGTTCATTCTATACATCCCATCTCGTAAGTCAGGACTGATTTGCCACCTCTATATAAACTGCTTACCTCGATAAAAAATTAACGCTGAACACCATATTCATACACTGCAAAATCCTCTCGTATTCGCCTCAAAGATCAAATGGATCACAAACACAACACTCGAACAGAGTTCACCAAAATTATAGGTAATCTCTCAAATGACAATCGACAACGCCTTTATTTTCTACTGAGTACAGACGTTCCGAAATATTTATGCGAAGATCTTACACTAACTGGAACGTTTCAAATAGTCGATTATCTCTTCGACAACGCATTTATCACTGATCGAAATTATTGTTACTTAATTGAAACCTTAAAACGAGCAGATTGTCAAAGCACTGCTAACGAACTTCTAGATAGACTGTTTCATATAAAATAGAATATTTTACATTTATTTTCACTGTACTTGTAGCATACGAACAAGCTCAACAAAAAAATGATGAAAAAGATTTCGTGTCACTGTCTGGTACTGGTACGTCTTTAAATGTAAAATCATACTGTTTTTGATCATCGAATACATTTTAGTAGTATCTCCAAGTATGATTAATACAAGATCAATTCCATTTTTTTTGACCAAGAGAAAAACTGTCGACATGGAATGTGAATCAATGAGTCGCAACAGCAAAGAATCTCACCATCGATATTCATGTGTGACTACAGTATTCACAAAATCAACCAATATTCGTGAAATAATTTCATTCCCATTAGGTGTAGTACTATTAATCTTTTTATTGGTCACAGTACCCGGAACATATGCTTATAAAACCACCGGCAAAGTCAATCGAAGTACAAATTTTTCCTGAAACTGAATAGTTAATCTGACTTTTGTATTGCATAATAGAGCCACTTCGTAATGCCTTCATCAATGCCAATACTGTTTGGTCAGAAACAGGCACATTTGTTGCGGGCGGAAACAATGCGGGCGCTTTATTGAATCAACTTTCCTATCCATATGGTTTGTATGTTGATAGTAATCAAACGATTTATGTTGCTGATGAGCAGAATCATCGTATCGTTGCATGGGATCACGGTGCTACTGAAGGTCGAGTAGTTGCTGGTGGAAATGGAGCTGGAAATCGACTGAATCAATTAGATAAACCATCCGATGTTATTGTCGACGAAAGAACGAATAGTATTATCATTTGTGATTATGGTAATCAAAGAGTAGTTCGATGGAATCTACATAACCGTACAGCTGGTCAAGTTCTTCTCTCGAACGGAGGCTATTTCGGATTAACAATGGACAATCTTGGATATCTGTATGTTACCGATCGATCAAGAAATAATGTTCAACGATGGCGAATGGGCGATAAGTATATGACTGTGGTAGCAGGTGGCAATGGGAAAGGTGATCGGCTTGATCAATTTGATCAGCCAAGATATATATCTGTCGACCAGGATTATTCTATTTATGTATCAGATTGGAATAACGATCGAGTGATGAAGTGGATGGCAGATGCCGACGAAGGTGTGATTGTTGCTGGTGGTCAAGGTAAAGGAAATAGTTCCAAACAATTATCGTATCCTGAAGATGTTGTCGTTGATCAACGTGGTACAGTTTATGTCGTCGATCAATGGAATAATCGGGTGATGAGATGGCCTAAAGGAGAAACCCACGGAAACCTTGTTATTGGTGGAGAGAACATGAAAGATCAATCGAAGCAGATCTACCGTCCTGTTGGTTTAGCGTTTGATCGATACGGTAATCTTTATGTTGTTGAGCATGGCAACCATCGAGTTCAAAAGTTCAGCATCAAGTTAATTAATTATTCAAAATGACATTTGTCCATTTCGTTATACTGTACAATTTTTGCTGTGAAATATCTACTGTAGGTTAAAATTCAATAAATAAAAATTTTCCTTCTGAATCCAAACTACCTAGTTCGTTAAGCATATGAAATAGGCAAAATAGAACTTAATCCACCATTAAAAACAAGGTGATTCTCTCATACGTCCATTTTCAGTTTTCATGTTTCATTTAGAAATCTTCTATCTTCAATCCGTCGATGTGTGTGTGAATTGTAGTAGTATCATAGAGGTGCAGCAACACATCATTGTACGAGCCCGATAGAGCTTGTTATTGAACACAAAGAATACAACAGTAGGGAACGATAACACTGTGTATTTAGGAACACTGAGAATAAAGAGTCTGTTAAATTATCGTTTAGTTTATGGCGATTCGACGATGAGATATTTTTTCATTTCTATCGAAGCTTTTTTTCAAAAAAAAAGAAAGGTACTTGAAATATACCCATAAAAGCATTCTTTTATTGTTCTAAAAACGTAAAAGAAAAAGTTTCTTTTCTCCTCGTCTGAAAAAAATGTCTCCTATTGAAAATGAAAAAAAAATGACGGAACGAATTTTTTTCGGTCGTTATGCATATTTATTGAATAAATAACGGATCGATATATGTAAATCAATTACTGTCTTGTCGAAAGAAAAAATGTCGTTATTCGCATGTACTCGTTCCAAAACGAAAGATGACAAATCGGCTCGTAACGTTCAATTGGAAAAACGTATTCGTGAATCACCCAAAGAAAATATCGAATTAAACAATCTGAACATAACTGACGATGATGTTACTTATATAATTAACAAGGTTATCAAGAAAAATAAACGTTGTCAATCATTATCATTAACAAATAATGAAATTACGTCCAACGGAATTCAAATTCTGATTGATTCATTAGTAAAAAATTCCAAAATAACACATTTGAATTTATCATCTAATCCACTTGGTGACCAAGCGATTCAATTCATCAGTCAATTGATCATGAGTAATCGCACTCTATACCATTTATCTTTAGCCGATACAAACATAACTGATATCGGTTTTCGAGAGTTGATTCAAACTCTCTCATCGAATTCTTCACCTTTACGAACGCTTGATCTCCGTTCGAATAAATCAATAACAGATGCATCCATTCCATTTCTTATTCAAATGGTTGATCGAAATCAAACATTATCAGCGTGTAGATTAGATAACTGTCAATTAACTGAACAAGGGTTTAATCAACTTAAAGAAGAAAAATCTATCAAATGGTAAAATTCGATCTTCGAACCATCTAAATTTAACATTTACTTTACTTCACACATAAATAAATACTGACAAAGCATTTTATTCTATATATCTACGATCATTCGTCGAAGTCGATGAAAGATATCAAATAAACCTTTTTGAAAAGTACTTCCACCGCAGATTGTATAAATATAAAAGGATAGGCCATTTGCTAAATACATACTAAGAAGAGAAACAGTAAAGACGAAGACATCCAAAGGATATTCGCGTCCTGTAACCGGATCAGGACTTTTAAATGCTAAATAAAGTTTCTGCATCGGACATGGCATTGATAGTATAAACAGAGTAGTTATTTGAAAGAAGAGCATGATCACCAGGTGACGATCTGTTCTTTTACGATAAATTTCGTGAATATTTGCCTTATGATGATGAACTTGATGGTGCCTTTGACGAATATTAAAAATGGTCATCACTCCGAACAAGAGCATAACTAATAAAGGAATGAATATAGACAGCAATGCAAACGATATATCATTTAATACCCGACAGAAATATGTAGAAGCATAGCATTTCAACGGAGCATTTAGTTGACCTGGCTCGTAACAATATAGCACTTGAATATAAAATCCAAATGATGCACAAATCATGATAATGGTACCACGTTCAGCATTTTGTATGGTGCTTTTTTGGCGTCGATTTGTGTCAGCGCTCGATAGAAGCCAACGATCAATTGTTGCTAAGGCAATGAGCCAAAAAGTTGTAGTTATTGCAGGAAAGACAACCACGGCGCGTACTTTACAAATAAATCCATTTGTTTCACTGAAATCAAGCGACCAACTTGATAAAAAACGAGACACCAAACCAGAAAGATATGAAATGATACTTGCGATAGATGACATAAGGAAAAGCCAGGCACATGGATTTCCTCGGAAAGTTTTTTGTGATAAGACTAAGATATTGAGAACATTGCCAATAGTACCAATAACAAAAATAAGTATTCCACAATAACGATTCACCTGTATTGTTAAATAAGAAAAAGATACAGCGTTACCAACTTCCGATGATGATAACATTTTCTAACTAAAGATAAGTAAGAGTTGTGTGGAAGTTTTTCCTATTCTATGTTCTTGCACCAAAAAAATTTAAAAAAAGACGAAGTGACAATCAGCGTGTCTCGAAATTGATAAAAATGTCATTTGAAATCTTTTCCATAACATGCACATGTACTCAAAGACAACGAATATGACAGTAGTCTTTGTAAAAAATAGGATTATGTCACAATCTCTGACGCATGAATAAAAATATATTCGATAAAAATGTTGGAAGTAAATTTACTCAAAATTAATTAATTATGTGTAAATAGTAGCGAACTTGAAGTAAAATGTACGAATAAAAAGCGTCTTTATTGTGCTGTTCGATTTTGGATGTACAATGGCTCTGGTTGATCGACAACCTCACCATGTGTAAATGACACAATGTCTCAAGAGAAAATTTACCAAATATCCCTTTCAACTTTCTCCACTACAACTATACAGTTTCTCACAGGCTTATAGGATATGTTATTCCATTTAATCATATTAAAAGTTTCACTAATGACAAATTTTCAATGATGAGCATCGAGTACTTTCTTCACATATTCAGACAGATGACATTAAAGCTTTCGGCTTTTGTGTATGGATCCTAAACAACAAGTATGCGCATAATTAAATATATTAGAGGATAGTTACATTAAAAACAAACCCGATAACAACGCTGAATCTAAATGAAGACCAACGTAAAGATCATGAGAACTTTCGTTAATCAGGAATTGAGGGTGACAAATATGACTGAATATTCGTTAGAACATGCAGAGAAGTATCGAGGGAAAAAAAGACTATTTGTATATATTTTCGCCATAAATAGTATCAATGGTATGCTTTTCACGAATATACAATGTTCTACTTAGTTTCATCTGTTTTATTTGTGGCAAAAAGCAACTATCTTTCAAAACTATTCAAGATCGTGTTCACTCGACTGATTTGTATCTTTCATGGATGATGAAGGGCACTTCTCTACCAATCGGTGGAGTCACGGTTGAATACGTTTTCTTTTTCTCCACCTACTCCAATGACAACGTTCTTTTTTTCCGTTTCATTTTTTAAACACGTGTATAAAATCGTTCCGTCTAGAACCATCGGTATTTAACATGTAAGTTTTGATTATGTAAATAAAACTTATCTTCACGAGATTTCGAGATGTTTTAGTGCAACGTACGCATGTACATTCATATATGTAAAGCATTCAAAGTATAATTATTCAACTAAATAGTGATATATACACGTCAACACAATCTTTCATTACAGCAAATGTTTCATTTTTATCCACACGTAAGAAGACTACGTGTAATTTTCTTAGGTTGTATAATATTATGTTTGTTCTATGGTTATACTGGTCAAAAATATTTTTTATTTCCTTCGAATAAAAACACCAACAAAATAATGTCTCCATTTCAACATACTCTTGGATTTATACGTTGGAATTCACTTCATCCTGAACGGATTCCTGTCATGGAAAAGTATCGACCGTTCTTTGCTGAATTACATTATTCTATGCCGAACTATACGTTGAAGACAAATCTGACAGCAGATGGATGGGCACCTTACAAAGATGTGTATAAAGTAGTAGGTGATACGATGAACATTATCTTGAGACAATATCCAAATATCAAAGGACTTTTATATTTCCATTTTGATGTAAGCTATTTGATCCTTGAGGTTAATATTAATTTATTTCTAATTAAGGCATGGCTACATCCTTTCAGATTTGATGATATGAATTTTCGTAAAATTTGGTTTCCTGATTCCATGACGCCGCCGTTTAAATGTGTAACAGACACGATAGGATGGAAATGGTGGGCTTGGAATGATAGATATGATCGAATAGCTAAAAATGCTACGAAGAATGTTGCTAAGAAGTATTCAAAACGGTACATTGTACAAGAAAATGTATTTTGTGGAGGGTAAGAAATTAACTTTCGAGAATTATTAATTATTTTTCAATTTATAGATGGTCTGATATTTATTATATACCGAGAGAATTTTTTCGAGATTATATCACATTGGGAAACGTATTCTATGAAGCTGGTTCGTTTCATGAAGTCGCAATACCAACGATGATCAACATAATCGATTTGACTTATCGGTTGACACCTTATCATAGTGTAGTTACACGTCTTGGAGATTGTTGGGGCGATTGTTGTACGAACGGTGCAAAACCAGAAGATGTCAAACGAAAGCGATGTGGTCATCGAATTGATTTAACAAAAACGCATATGAAAGATACATTAGTTATGATTTTAGAGTTAGGAGCACGTTATCTTAATAAAACTAGTCGAGAGATTGTCTGACAATCTGTTATGATTCTGTTATTCCTAAGAATGTTTCATTGATTTCATCTTGAGAATGTAATTAGATTTAAATAGCATTGGAAAACAGCTACAGTTTTATAACTAAGAGATTATCGATTTCAATTTATATCGTGCTTCTGTTAACAACCGGAGCAAATCAATACCATGAAGGATTTATTTACAATTTAGCTTCGTTAAGTGCCCACTGCCCAAGGAACCTGTCTGTACCAAAACTCAAGTTTAATTCTCATCAGCCGGGACAATGCCCAGTAACCGTCAATCCGTTTAACAAGCATAAGTAATGAATTAATACCAACAACTCGTGAAATTGCAATGATTTGCGTTTATTTTGGATTTCTACTCATGAAACTGACAATCCTCTTGCACCAAGATTATCGATCATCGTTGTAATATGCCAAATATATGGATCCGATATTATTGTCGCCATTATAGCAACGAGATCGTGTATTTTGAACTCACATTCACAATTTTTTCCGCATGATGGTCTACTGAAATTGATCTCAAAGACTCTCCGCTTCTTATTTCACCATGTTTTCATAATAAAATCGTTTGTTTTGACGAGAAAAAATGCATAGTTTTAGAGTGAGGGTGAGTGCTCACCACCAACTCATCTAAGGACTCGATAGGAGCCAGATGAGTTTTCGAAAGTTCTCATCATACTTATGTAGGGCTGATCGAATTCTATGTACACATTTTGACCAGGCGATAATATCGAAGTATTCAATTTTGTTTTCTTCTGTAGTTGTTCACATGGTCATCAATTTACATAGCAAAGTCTTTTTTCTTTTCTTTCTTTCGTCAGTCCAACACGCTCAAAACATTTACACTTATCTAGTCAGTCGCTTGTTCACTATATATATATATATATATCCATTGTTCGTCCCAAAGTTCATAGTTTGATTAAATTAACATGGAAGCAAATTCTTCACATCAACAAAAGAAAACATCTTTTTTAATCGAATTATGTACAGAAATTCTCTCTAAAGACCTGGGTTGGATATCTCTGACTAAACTCATGAAAACGATTGAAGGACAATCATCACCAAAGGGCGATTTGCTTGAATTGTTTCAAACTATCAAAAGCATTCAGAATGATGTAAGTATTCAATAATTAAAATATCGTAAATAAAGCGTTCTTTTAGATTACTTAACAACAAACGCTGATAGAAACCTTACAACGAGCTGCTGATGAAGTAGCAGAACGTTTCGATTTAGGTTTTGAATCAGCTTCTGTCGAACATCCATACGATAGTGATGGTATAGAACGGAAGAAATTTTTATCTACGAAAGGCTTTGTTTTTCGCAAGAGTAGCTGTGAATCAAATTAATATCTTGGAAGAACGAGCATTACGTCAATAAGCGAAAGAAAATGATTTTGGTACAGATGATTGAATGTTTCTTTTCTTCTCTTGTCTATAAGTAAAATTATCTTTTCAGTATGATTCTCTCATTGACATTGTTTTATGACATGAGAAAAATAACCAACAATGCCGAAGTGACCAATCAAAAGAGCTTGTTATAAATGAATAGACCATGCTAGAGAGAAACGCGTTCAATCGTTCATCACAGCTTTACATTTCGAGAACAAAGCGATGTTTCTTTTGTTCTCATAGACGTCATTGACTAGCATGCAGACGTGTATATAAGGGGCAAATAGATCATCCTGTCAGTGCTAGGTATGAATATACTTGATTTGCCCAATGAATTGTTGATTATTATTTTCAACAAATTAAATGCAGTCGATTCTCTCTATTCACTTGTGGATGTGAATGAACGATTTGATGAAATAGTGCTAGAAGCTCTTCATATTCAGTGTCTTGATACAGCAAACATGCTTAAAGAATCAAGTTTTGATGAAAGCGCTCCGGTGAATCAAGCAATACTTCGCAAAATATGTGAAAAAATTCTGCCTCGACTTCATCTTCAATTGAATGAACTGGTCGTTGATCAAAATTCACTTCAACATATTCTTTTTTCTAATACTTACCCTCAACTATCCTCTTTATCGCTTGTTAACTTTCAACAGAAAAGTCTTCTTCGATATTTAAGAGGTAAGGTACACGTTGATTTCGCCAATTGAAAATTTTGTTTCGATTCCATAGATGATTCCATTCTGCGTGAACTTCTCTCTGAACAAATCACACATTTGTCTATTGGGTTTCGATTTGAATTAGCAGTGGAAGACCTCGAAACTTCGACAAATATATTTGCTCTAATTTTATATTTATGTCAACGATTAGATAGCTTAAGCTATTGTCAGCTGTTTTCATACCAAACCATCCCGGTCTTTATTCAAATATCGCCATCGATAAATGTGATATCTTCAACTTTAACTGCTCTCGCGATCAATATTAAAACATTTCAATGCTGTCTTCGTATTTTGGACGGCCGTTTCGCCTGTTTAAGAACACTGAGAGTTCATATCGAACGAATTTCACATCGCTTCTGCAATATAGATACCACAGTAAGTCGCTTATCGCGCAATGCATTGTGTGTGAAAGCAGAAAAGAAAATAGATGAACTATATTCTCTTTAGTCATTGCTGCCAAAACTGAAATATTTCTCGTTGATCTCATTGAAGGAGACATGGTGGTATGAAAAGGCAATTGTTCCATTAATACGTCGAATGATAAATCTAGAAGACTTGTCATTATTATTCACTCTCTGTACGACTAGTAGCACTTTTATTGATGGTACTCAATTACATAATGACATTCTCATGTATTTGATACAATTAAAAAGATTTACGTTTAGTATCAGAACATCTATTTGTGATGACGCACGAAAATTTCGATTACCATCAAATGAAGATATTCAACGTAGTTTCAAAGGAAATCTATATTATCAAGTTGGTTCATATGTGGACACAGAATCTTTATATCCTACTGGATCATGTCATATTTATTCACTTCCTTATGGATTTCAATATTTTCCTTGGCTTGAAAATCGATTTCCGGGTGGTATGTTTGACAAAGTTCGGTATTTATCAATGTTTGGTTGGTCTTCTTTTCAACTGATACTGTTCAAAAGGATCTCGGAAAGTTTTGCGTATATTAATGAATTACATATACACAATCGTGGGCCACAAATAGTTAACGAGCACGATTTGACATTGATAATTTTCCCTCATCTCATGCTTCTCGATCTGGTTTATGCACATGTAGATTATGCTAAACAATTTTTACTTCATGAAAAGATTAGTGTACCTTCTTTGACTGATCTTCGCATTACTTACGAATCATTGGTAACGGTGACGGATAACTTTACCAACATTGTCGCACGTTCTGCCTGCTCGAAGATAAAAACACTCCAGACTGACGAATTATTTGTTCGGTCAGAAGAATTTTATCATTATTTTCCTTTGATAGAGTGTTGATTGTGTCAGAAGTTTTATGAATAATAATAAAAAGATTTCCGTTGAAAATATGTATTCAAATTCGAGTTCGTCATAGAAGTATGGGTCAGTGCTCGTGATGGGTGCATCACAAAGCGCAAGTGCATGATTCTGTAGAAAATCTCTATTCTTCAACTGACCATATTATCCATGGTCAATAATTGTTCATATCGCTTATCAAATAAGCTTCTCGGTCTCTTCGATAATCTTCATTTCTTACATAATCCAAGTCTTTAAACCAACATTCGAATCGAATGTCGATGAAACAGGAGTAGTATGCGTATCTGTGCTTGTGTATTGATGATATTTATAAGCTTAAAGTGCTGAATCTTTATCCAATGACGATCATATTTCGGCAATGTTTTCAAAATTCAGAAGTCATCCATTGATGTAACTGCAGTACAAAACAATCTCCTATGAGATTTTTATTCGAAACCGGTCAACGAGCAGAAAATAATACAAAACACATATCAAAGTAAGTTCTGCTCTGTATTTTCATAGTATCTCGTTAGATCTTCAGCAAGTAGCTCATGCGTTGCCTTAGAATAATATTTGTTCTATATTCAAATGCTATCCTCGCCATTGCGATGGCAGCACCATTTTCATAATAAAATCGTTTGTTGTGACGAAAAAAACAGGGATGGCTTATCAACAAAATCTATAGGAAAAAAAGAAGAAGAGTAAAGAAAACGTCTTAGTCTAGTGATGATGTGCTCGTTCAGCTGCTGCTTTCGCTTCTTCCATGTATTCTTTTCCAGCTGACACTGGTTCCACATGTTCATAAACATCGTATTTGTCACACAAATACTGAATGATATGACGAGGTGTGAGAAAATGATCCGAGTCCACATCAGGAATTTCCGTCCAGAATTCATCTTCTAATGCTGCTGTAATCTCTACAATATCCAGAGAATCGAGGCCAAGATCTTGGGCAAACTTTGAATCTAATTGTAGAGCATCGCCATCGATCTTATCGAACAAGCGTAAGACAAGCATGACACGACTTTCGATCATGGGATAGGTGTAATGAACATGTGATTGACGAACTGGAATATGGTTGATGATCATTGCGGATTGACGATGTTTGTCATTGAGATTGACAAGAGTTGGTTTGAAGGAGAGTGAACGACGAGCAAGAGTGGTCATCATCGGTCGCACGAACGTTGAAGTTCGTGTTAGAAAACGAAACGTTGATGAAAGCATTTCTGTATCTGAAAAAAGAAAATATGAGTGAAAGACATGATTATTATTGCGAATCACGAATTGCTTTTGCTCGTCCGAGAATGAAATGATAAAAAATAAGCGTTATTAGCTTTCCAGTTCGATATTCTTCGACAATCGGATTGTATTCACTCATATCCATTAACTTGACATGGAACGACTGCCCAGCAATAAATGCAAGATCACAAGCTTGTTGAGCAGACAGGCCAACACTTGCCGGCGCACTAACACCAGGGCAGGAAGCGGAAATAATTGAGTCAATGTCAAATGAAACAAAGATATCACAGTTTTGTTCTTCAGCTGATTTGATTATTGATTGAAATGGTGTCAAAGGATCATCACGAATTGTTTGATACCAGATAATATTTGTTAACGGAGATTTTGAACGAAGATAATTCACATGTTCAATGGAACATTGCGATCCTTGACTGGCAAATTCAATAAAACGATCTAAAATCAAGAAAAAGCTTTCAAACATAAAAAAGTCGTGTTTTTTTCCTACTAGAAGGATTCCGATGAAATCTTTCATCTTCAATCAGTTGTCGAAAAGGTGAACCAGAGTGTGCCTTATTGCCTTCCTTCAATGGCCGAACGTCGAGATGTGCATCGATATTGATAACATAAATAGATTTCGAGTTATTCAATAAACCCGATGCATTTGGATACGATTGATCGTTTCCGCCACCGACAACAAATGGAATTTTGTTATTCCTAATCAAATGAGTAACGCGTTCTTCTAATTGTTGATGTGCTTCTTCTAAACTTAGATTTTCATTGATATTTCCACCGTCGGATACTTTCACGTACTTCCGAATATCTAAATCATCGTATTCAGCGTTGATCACAGTTCCCGTTCGTTTTAATAGTTGTCGAAATGCATTTGGTCCCGATTTAGCACCTACTCGTCCATTATTTCTTCGTACACCTTCGTCATACGGAAAACCAAGAAGAATTATATCACCATTATCATCTTCTGTGATAATATCTCCTAAACGAATGTCATCACTAATCATGTTTTCTTGTGAGATTCACTTCAAGTAAACATATCGCTTCGCCATCGACATTGACTGCCATTTGGTTAACTATGGATTGTTTTATAGATGTCGCTCGATATTCTCTGATGGAATGACATATTGTTGACTTAGTTTTATGATGATCTGCAGTGTTGGTTGACTTTCATTGTTAATTAATAAATATCAAGAATATTTTTTCCATTTTTTGAAAAATATTTTTCATCGAACAAATCAATCGACGTTCTGTCTTCTACTGATATCTAATAGGCGCAGAGAAAAGAGAACAGAGAGAAAAACGACTGCATATTATTTATTGGCAGCTATGATTTGCGACCCTCTAAAATCTATTTCGTTGTTTTAGATACTTCAAATGGCTTCAAATTCGAACAATGAGAAAGATAAAGAGAAAATCTTTCCTTCTTTCACCGAACTTCGTGTTTATCCATCATTTACTGAGATTCGTGAAAAATTTCATGCACCTCAAGTATGAAACAAAATCGATGAGAATGTTTTCCAACTGTGTTTTGTTTTAGAACTTCAAAATGTATTTTCCACGTGAGGTTTATGATCAAATTGTCCAAGGAAGTCTCAATGTCGAAGGAATTGATGTTCTCAGTCAAAATAGTGTGACAAAAGCGAATAATTTAGAAGGTCAGACAGTGTTTATTCGTCGACCACATGAAACACCAATTGAGTGTCAAGTTATTCGTGCAAATGATTTGTTATTGAAAGATGTCAAAAGTGGAAGATTCATTCGTGCACAAAATCACGAACTTGAATATGTAAATATCCCTGAAGAAGAAGGAACTGAGGTGACATTTGCTTTAAATCAACCAGGCGATGCATTTCTTTCCTATTTAATCAACGGTAAGGCAACATTTTCAACAAGTACTTCAGTCAAATTTGATTCTTTAAGGAATTAATTGGTCATCGCGATATAATCTTAAAGTTGAATCCACAGACCATTCGTTTGAAGCATGGGCTGACATCACGAATAATACGAAACGTGATTATCAAATCAAACGTACGGAATTATTCGGTGGAGATGTTCATCTTCAACATTCACATCGATCGGCACCGATGAGACGCTGTTGTATGAAAGCATGCTGTTGCTGTGATTGTTGTTCTGCTCCACCGCCGTCCATTCAAGCTGAAGGTGAATTAGCCGGTATTTATTGGTATTCTATCGATCAACCATTTGTTCTTATTCAACAATCAACATATTCATTACCATTTGTTAAACCAGTGATTAAATTAGAAAAGTACGCCGGTTTACAGAATTACTTTCAAGAACAAACACACAAAGGCAAATTCCAAAGAAAATATCGTATTGAATCTGATAGTTTTCTTCCCAAAGGCACCGTTACTATCCGTGAAGATGGCCGAGTCGTTGGCCAAGCTCAACTAGCTGATCTCTCTCAAGGTGAAAAACAAGATTTAGATTGCGGAGATGATCCCGATGTAAGTTTTAATCGTCAAGTGAAAGTCTTATCACAAAAACGAGAATCTGCATCCTATGATATTCAATTAACCATTCGAAATGCCAAATCCAAACCGATCAAATATGAATATAAAGAAATCATTTCCTCCGCGAAGTTTACCACTATCCCCAAAGGTGATAGACAAGATAAAATTCAAAGTGTCGCCGAAGGTCTACAAATCATCGGAGAAGAATTAGAAGCGAATAGTGAACACGTCTTTCAATATGAAATCTCACTTGAATATCGAAATAATCAAAATCAATATTAACTTTCAAGTTGTTGTCTTTTCATATACAGACAGAAATAATGCTTTTATAAAACTAACTTTTTTATGTTAATGATTGATCGAAAATTTAACTTCTTAGCTGCGAATAAACGATTTTATTTAGAGTAGATAGTCCGATATGATTTCAACAAAAATCGAAATGCAAATCGCTTCTTTTATTTGAATGCATCACCTTATCCGGCAACGTCTTTAAATAATGATTCACATTCATATATATGTTTTTATCGATAACGTAGAGAAACATGTTCGAATGTAAAAGGCAAGACCAACATCGATCGGAATAATCAAAGTAAATCACTTAATCGATAAACAAAAAATGAATTGATTAGCTTCATTAGTACATCAAAGGCTTCTTTCATAGCTTTTTCTAAAAGATCCTTGTGCTTTAAATGAATTGGATGATTTATGCTTCAATTGTTCACTTATGGTACACATGATACAAATGAATAGCGTTTTTTTTCTTCATCCAATTAGTCTCAGCGGAGAACCTCGAACTATTACAAAAATAGGAAAAGTTTTCTATGTTACGAGATCAGATTGAAGTGTTTATATAGTAAGATCATGCAATTTATTCATCAGTAAATAGATTCATTCGATTCACAATCATATTGATCACAATCAAGTCGATAAAGATCGAATTTTTATACACAAACTTTTATTTTCACAATTGATTATGAATTTTAATTTGAACATAGACTTTATTGCACTGCTTCCATATGCAACGAGTCGTTGATGTTAGCTCGACCTCTTGTTCCCTCATTGGTTCCGACTCGGTTGGTTGCTGCCTGTGCTTCTAATGCATTTTGATTGACGAAACCAAATTTAAAATGTGTGGACGTTTTAATATAAAGTAATGGAATCCAGATGACGGATGATTTAGCGAATATGGATGAAATTGATGTTATGATAGGTGGTGTACCATAATCTTCGCCTAGAAAGATTGATGTTAACACAGCTACTGAGTACGGCGTCCATGTGACGAAGAAGCCACATGTTGTTATTGTGATGCCTAGATGAATTGATGACGTACGTGAGATTAATGGAGAAATACTTACTTTTAATAAGCCGTCGTTCCATTTCAATTCGCTTTCGACTGAAGTTTTGTTGAATTCCTCGTTCGAGTTTTTCCCTCATACGTCGAAGGCCAATCATTGCCATCGTATTTGCACTAATAAGAATAAATAATGGGACGCAGTAAATAAATATAAATATGACAATAGTAAATGATATGTAAGACGGACGACGATCATACCAACTTATACAACATGAAGTTCGTCCAACCTAGAATCAAATCATAAAATCAACCAATCGATTTCACTCAAGATCTTACTTCCATCGTGTATTCATTCCATCCAAGCAGCGGCATCATTGTCCATAGAAAACTGATGAAAACAAGAAAACAAGAAGCAATAATTGATTTTCCAACCTAAACTAATCTTCTTTCACTGTCTCATTTATTTCACATTTTCACTTACAGTCACTTTCTTTGCATTCAATGGTCGCACAATAATGTAACATCGACTGATACTAACTGCGCATAGTAAGTAAGCACTTGCGCATCCATATAGAAATCCAATGATTCCGTCAAGATAACAACCGGCACGGCTATACAACCATTGACAATAAACCGATGATGTTCCTGTTAATGGTAGTAGTGTACACGAAGCAAGTAGGCCCATTCCGGTGATGAACATGACGAAGACATTTGGTGGTGAACGAAGTTGTCGATGTCGAATAAAACTTAGAAGCAATAAACCATTGATCATAACGCCGAGAAACGATGATATGCATAAATAAATTCCAAATATTCGAATGATATCACAATTGACCGGTGTTGGTTGACTCCAAAATGACGCATCATTCGAATTGGACAGTTGAGAAGGGTTTAGTGATATATTGGATAACATATCTTTTTTTCTTTGAACAAAAACGCGAAAAGATATTTTAATGCACTCAGAATAGTTTCCTATTTAAGACTTCTCGTCAGATTAAGCGTGATTTATGACAGACTATTCAATCGTTTTCTTTTTCCTATTGAAGGTAGCAGAGTTTACGCGGAAACGTGAATCTGTTATTTTGTTATGCAAAAGCACGAGAAAGTCAAAGGATTCTTTTTTTAATTATGACAAAAACAAGAGTGAAAATACATGAATAAAAGGAAAACTACGGGAGATTTTCTTTAAATGTCGTTCTATGCACTTTACATTTCTCTCAAAAACATCATCTTCTTGCTCTACAACTAAGTTTCTCTATGTTAATAGTTTCAAAAGCAAGACGGTTCTTTTATAATCATTATCAACATAATTCTTCATCACGTCTAACATATCGAGTTTATCTCCAAATTAATAATTTCCATGCCATGATTATAATAGAACGTTGTGAGAACATGTAAACCTACGGTTTCATAAAACGTCGCGTCGATGAACCAGACCTAATCTCAGTTTCTTAATCGTAGTCGAAGATTCATCAACGACATCTTTCGTTTCACATGTGTTTTCCATGTGATTTTCCTGATTCGTTACTCATTTGACATTGGAATTTTTTGTCTTAGAAATGTGAAAACGATTGTTGCAAGAAAAAGACAAGATGATTCTTATCAGTTCTCATGAAAAAAAGGACAAGTGTTGAATAAATGAAAGGTGAAGGATTTCATAGCAAAAGCGTGATGTTCTTCAGAAGAAAATTTCGGTTTCTATTAACTTTTTGTTCTGTATTAATTACGGTTTTATGCTTGTGGCAAATGATATTAATTTCCTTTACAATTCATGATTTATTGTGTGGAATTAATACCCATTCGATAGGTGAGCGATTAAATGACACAAGTCAAACAATTCCATTGATTATTCATCAAATGTGGAAAACCAATGATTTATCTTCGTATCCAATTAATAATTCTCAACATGTTTGGAAAAGATTCTTTCCTAGATATGTAATCAATTTATGGACTGATGAACAAATCGAAAACTTAATTTTAAAAGCTGAATACCAATTTTTATATCCAGTTTATAAGTCATATCTTTATTCGATTCAACGAGCTGATCTAGCGAGATTAATTATTCTTCATTCTCATGGTGGAATTTATGCAGATTTAGATGTTTATCCACATGGAACAAATCTCGAAGAACTTCTTCGTCAAAATGCTTCTTTTATCATTGGAAGATCATCAACAGATACTTGTTTAGTTAATCATTTCATGATCAGTCAGCAGAATTCATCTATTCTTTCACATATTCTCGAAAATGTTCACAAAAAATCATTCTTCAATCAAATTTATATTCTTCCGTACTTAGAAGTATTTGCAACAGGATCAATTTATTTAACAAATATTCTTCGAAATTCTCGTGATCAAAGACTAATAATTTTATCCAAAGATGAACTGTCACAGTATATTTATCACGATGCCGGACGATCTTGGCATTTATTTGACGGCTACGTAATCAATCGAATTGATGCGCATCCTAAACAATTTCTAGTCGTTATACTGATTTGTTTTCTTATTTGTTGTGTACGATGGAGAAAATCGTGTCGAATATTTCATGTGAAGAGATAAAAAAATAAATCATATTTGGAAGCACATTCGATCAAACGAACAGTTCAAAAGGAACGTGAATGTAGGTAAATAGAAAGTCTTGCTATTCTCACAATATCATTTTATTCGAATATATAAGATAAGGCTTTGGAATTCATCAGACAATGTTCAATATAATTATCATGAGTTATTAGTACAACGACTGTTTGTTGTATTAAAAAGGTACATTTAGAAATTTAGATACATTAATTAGTGAGTTTTTAGGTCTTTGTTGTTTATGTAGATGCTTCAAATGACGAAGGCAATTTTTTGAAGATGTTTCTATTAGACAAGGATAATATTTAATGACATGAAATCATGTCGATAAGTCCTAATAGTATACCTTAAAAATAGCAATAAAGCAATTAAAATGCATAATGAGTTTACCTGCCATCGGTTATAAGTATCAAGAGCTTAGTTAAATTATTGGCAGAGGTGTTTCATAGAATATATCTGAGTAAAGTCAAACACATAATCCAGGCTTATAACAAATTTTAAACGATGATACAAACACCTCCTTGTTGAGAGGAATGATAAGTAATCATGTCAAGAAGAAATTATTCACTTTGTTATTAGCAAATAAAGTGTCTCTCGATTGTTTCCTAGATGAATTCATCCATAATGATGAGATTTTGTTGGATAGTTCAACATGATCTTAGTCTGCATTCAAGTGTTCTTTTTTTGTATTTTCGAATGAAATTGTTTTTTCTTGTCGTGTCCGCAACAGGGACAACGCGATTGAATCTGGGTTCTTTGACGAAAACGGTACAATGACAGGAAAATATATCGAATACCTTTTACATACTCAGTATGTACGTAATGATGAATGCCAAAAGAATTCAATATAGTCTTTGCTTAATAAAACTAGGTCGAACAATTATGACGCTTTTGCGTTATTGTTGTTAATTAGTGAGTTCACCGCACGCATCTATTTGTTACAAGAAGACTAGAAGGGGTAAAAAGTGCGTTACAATCATACCGGCACTAAGATAGGTTAGAGAGAGAGGGGAAATGTAAACCAAAGATTAACAGTAGGAAAACCAGCAGTTTTCCTTTGCACTTCTCTTTCTATTTGTATGTATATACTGGTTGAACATGAGTTGAATACGAAATGAAGAATTAGAATTAAACGAAATTTCAATTTCTCGCGAAAATGAAGAAAATATGAGACTTATCAACATACGAGATATCCTTGAGAATCTCCAGATAACGTAGCTCGTCGAACTAAAAAAAGACCTCTGTTGAAGATAGAAAAACGTCATCATGCTTCATGTTCTGTGTTGGTGTATATTCGTTCATTTCACTGTTTAGGTTCCATTTAGAAGAACAGTAAATACTTTCAAAGAAATAGACCGTTGCTACTCACACTATGTGCAGTGAATTAACGGATGAATATGAAGTTGTACAACAGTAATACATTTCAAAATGCAAACAAATATTGTTGTGCTTTCAATTATCTCGCTATCGTGAGTTAACACTACAATTCCTGTATACTAGACTTTTCGTAAGCGTCATTTTCTGTCTATATACATATCAAATTTACACATCGTATATACATGTTCGTTATACCATGTAACGACGATAACATCGATGTTATAATTTTTTTTATCACAATATGTGTTCGGCAATATGTACTGATACTTAAACTATTCAGTCAAATCAAAGGATCTCCGTGACCATCTTCGCTCTTACTAGGATCTGAATACAGATCAGATATTCACACACTTGTTACACGCGGTAATAAATAATACGAACGTTATGCAATAACGTGTCATTGCACCATGATGGTATACGATTGTGACATTCCTTTTGACGATGGCAGCCATGGCCTTTTTTTACACTATATAAACTCTCATTTTGCAGCTAGAGTTCATAGAATACTTCGTCAACTCCCTCATATCACAATATGGTTGCGATCACCCGAGCGACTCTAGCACGTCGACTACAATCGTCAAACGTAAAAACCACTAAAACACGTGCTGCAAAAGGCAAAGTTACCAAACAAAAGAAAAGAACAGCTAAACAACGAACAGCTCCCTCATCATCATCATCTAATACTACTACTGTTAGTAGCAATACTGCAACTATTTCTGCTCCATTACAAGCATACAATGATGTCAAAGGCAAAAGTGACATTACCGATGCACTGGCATACGATTGTCATTGGAATCCAGTTGGAAGAGAATATGATTTGGGAAGAGATGGTGCATTCATGGGATTTAGTATTTTAATCGGGAAATTCCCTCAAGGTATAACCAGTACTCAGATGCAAAACTCAATTGATGCACTGAAAGTGAAAGGGTTTCAAGTGAAATGTGTTGGGACTGAAGATGAGTGTATCAAAGAACTCGATTCAAATCAATATCAAGTTGTATGGATCATAAGTGATACGTATATCAGAAATCGCGACATTATTTCGTCGCTAACAACTTTTCAGTCAAATGGTGGTGCAATATTTCTCTTTGCTGATAATACACCCCTTGTTTGTCACGCAAATGAGTTTCTTGATAAAAAATTCGGTATTACCGTTGTGGGAGATTACTATGCTTCACAAACATTGACTTATACAGAGAATGGTCATCAACAAAAAGGACACTTTGGTCAACATGAGATCTTCACTGGAGTGAAAAACTTATACGAAGGTATCACCATCTGCCATCCAGTGTATTCGACAGAAGAGAGTCGTGAGAAATTGGTTCCGATTGCAACAGCTAGTGATGGAAACACATGTATTGCTGTTTATGATCCACCAGCAAGTTCAACATCGAATGAGGGTCGAATATGTTTCGATTGTGGATTCACAAAATTATATTGTAATTGGGATGCAGCAGGAACAGCTCGGTATATAGTGAATGCTAGTTGTTGGTTATTGCGAATCGAAAATCGTTTCACTTAGAATAGAAGAATACAAATCATTTCATTAAATATATGTTGTATTAATTTCAAACGTTCAGATTTATTATTTATTTGATTTTTTTATGAACGTATTTTTTCATCAATCGTATTACAAAAACGGAATACACTGTCCTAAGTTCATGTTGAAAATACGATCAAACCATATATTTGTATAGACACTTTTTGTTCCGCTCTTACAATCTTCTCCGATATTTGTAATAATTTTAACACGAATGCTAATGGAAATAGACTATCAATGAGTATTCATATGTAATATGGAAAATGATTGGTTACGTTTCTTTTTATTCTTATCTTGTTGGATAGAGACTTTGAGGTCAGTCAAGAAGTGTTTTTATCGAGTCTGTTCGAACATGGTCAAAGCGTACTCAAGTATAGGGTGAAATAGGCGTTCAATCCGATAGAAATACTTTTGAATACTTTAAA